AGAGAGGTAGAGAGAGAGAGAGAGAGAGAGAGAGAGAGAGAGGAGAAGAAAGAGAGAGGTGAAAGAGAACAGTAAAGATGAAATAGAGGAGAAAAAGAGGAGAAGGAAAACAGAAAAGATGGAAGAAAGAGAGAGAGGAAAAATAGAACAGAAGAGATAGAAGAGAAAACCAAGAAGAGATGGAGATAAAAGGAAGAGAGAGTGAATGCAAGAGAGAAAAGAAAAAGGACAGGAAATATGTAAGACAAAAGAAAGAGATGACAAAATGGAGAAGAGAATAAGAGAAAGAGAGAGCGGGGAGGATGTAAAAGAGAAGAGAAAAATAGGAGAGATAAAACATAACAGGAAGAAAGAAAGAAAGAAAGAAAGAAGATAATAAGAGATGAAAAGAAACAGAGAGGCAAAGAGTGAGAAGAGAAGAGATGTAAGAAAAATAGAAGAGGAAGAAAAGAAGAGAAGAATGAAAAAGAACACATCATGGAAGAGAAAGAAAAACAGGGACGATATAAGAAAAAAGAGAGAAAAAAGAAGAAAAGGAGAGATGAAAGTAAATATTAAGAAAATGAAGGAACAAAAGAGAGAGTAAAGTAAGAGAAAAGAGCGACGAAAAGATAGAGTGTGAGTAAGAAGAGAGAAAATAGTAGATATTGATAGTAGAGAGAGAGAAGGAACAAGAAAGAGCGAGAGAAAATAGAGTGAAGAGAGGTAAAAAAGAAAAGGAAGAGATTTGCCAAAAAAAGAAAGAGAATACAGGAGAAGGGGAAGGAGGAATAAAGAGAGAAAGAAAACTAAGAGAGTGACGGGGGATGAGAGGAATAAATTCCAGACAGTGTGATAAAGTAAGAGCTAAAGAGAAAGGAATAATGAAAGAGTGACAGGTGGGGAGATGGATGTTGAGTGTCATAAAGTGGACAATGAAGGAAATCTCAGCAGCAGAGAACTCAGAGCCGGGCACTCTCTGTATTGTCTTCTACATGATGTCATTGGCTCTCCTGTTGGGTATTATTTTGCAGTCTTTGTATCAAGGCTTCCTCCGCAGGTGACACAGTGTCAGGGCCACAGACCAAAGCAGAAGCAGCTCATGCTAAGGCTCCGATTCCACTCTTACAGTTGAAGGAGAAAAAAGTACTTAGGCAGGGTGTGTAATAATGTATCTGGATAGGAAAATGATTCCCAAACCCTAACCGAATGACCTTTAGTTGGACAAAACACTGTGTGTCATAAACAATTGTCATTTTCTACATTGCATCTCAGTGTTCCTGATCTCCAGCAGCCTCTTTGTAGGCACTCCAGGGATGACTTCATGGGATTTCTCAGGGCAACTGCAGTGGACCATGCCTGAGCATTGTGTACTGAAAAGACCACATGTAGTGTCCTTTGGAAGCCGGTGTGAGATGGTGACAATGCACGAGTATAACTGGGAGAGAGAGACTAGAGTGTTGTCACCCCATAACAGGAAGGTGGCTGGATTTAGGTTTAAAAAAAAAAACTTGGTCATAAACTATACAGCATACTGTCATCCCAGTCCCCTAGACCATGGACCCCATGCTCACATTGCTCCGCTCCTACCCCAGCACCCTTTTTGCATTGTTCTCCTCTCGTACCACTCCTAATGGTTGCTCAGCCCAGCCTTTTTTCAACCAGGGTGCCATGGCACACTGGTGTGCCTCCTGACCTCCACAGGGGTGCCTCAAAATTTTGTGGTAGATGGGACTGTGATGTGAAGGGGGAAATGAAGACTTGTGTGAAGGGGGCTCCTGATGTAAAAGGGGAACTCTGATGAGAAAAGGGGGAGACTCTGATATGAAAGTGGGGCTTCGGATGTGAAAGGGGAATTGTGGTGTAAAAGTTGGGGTGAGAGACTCTCAAATGAAAGTGGGGCTTGTGATGTCAAAAGGGGGGCTCTTCACGTAAAAGAGAAACTGTGGTGTGAAACGGGGGAGGCTCTGATATGAAGGTCTGGCTTCTGATGTGAAAGGGCGTTTCTCATGTGAAAGGGTGACTCTGATATGAAGGGAGGGTGAAATCTTGAAGGCTGCACTTTGATTTGAGGGGGAAAACCTAGTTTTTTGGATGCTTTTGCGTGTGGTTCCCCCCCCCCCTAAAATCCATTACATTTTAGTCTAGGGTGCCTTGAGATTTTGCATGTTTTTAAAGGGTGAAACACTGATCCACACCACTAAAACTGCAATTCTGCACGCTGGCCACTAGGGGAGGCCAAAGGAATAAATCTGAGAAGGTCCCAATAGATGGACGTGAATAGACGTGTTAATAGAGCCCTAGACCCAAAACAGGAGGGTTAAGACTTTGCAGCAAGATTTTAGAGTCAGCCGAGGTATCCTCAGGGGTCCCTGGTGTAATCTAAGAATGTAAGCAGGGAGAGAGCGCCAAGGATATAATATGAGTCCAGTAAATCTTTATGTCACATGACAGAAGGTCGAAAGAAAACCCAACGCAATTCAGCGGCTCATTGATTTCCCTTCATCGGTCATGTAATATATGCAGAGACATTTGCCAATAGACGCGATAAAAGAAAATAACATAATGCTACACATAAATTAAAAGTCTTGAAAAATGTTACATTTTATTACTTTATTCTTCTGATCTATATATATACATATACTGTATATATAGATCTATATATATATAGATCTTTATATACATAGATCTTATATATATATATATATAGATAGATAGATAGATAGATAGATAGATAGATAGATAGATATATATATTATTCTTTGTCTAAAAATCTATTAAAGGAGAACTATGGGGTTAAGTCTTTCCCCCATAGTTCTCCTTAGTGTACCGCTGCTCGTGGTATACTGAGACGCCGCAGCGGAAGTACCCCCCTCATAGTTCTCCTTTAATTGGCTGTAGAATAAGGTCATGTAGAAGTTAATGAGAGTATGACATTTTTAAGGACTTTTAAACAATTTGTATCATTCTTCTTCTTCTTCTATTATTTTTCTTTTATCACATCTGATGACATATGTCTCTGTATATATTATATTATTCCTTAGCCCTGATGAAGGGGGAACTGTGAGCACCCAAAAATGCGTTGGCTTTTCTTTTGACCTTCTGTCATGTGCAATAAAGATTTACAGGACTCATATTATAATCTGGACGCTCGCATGCGTCTCGCGCTCTTCAGATAGATTGAGTCGGCTTTTTCGATTGTAGCTCAGTTGCAATGTTTAGGTTTCCAAAGGTAAAGAATTCTCTTCATAACTTTCAAGGCATATTCAGACTTTTTGCAAAAATAAATTAATAATAATAATAATAATAAATGCGCCGACTGCAAAAAGAGAAAAAATATCTTGTGCTGCTGCAGAACGTTACTCCAACCCCGGGACTGTACCGAGGTACCGGACTTTCATTGACGAAAGAAGTTCTCAATGGACTGCAAGTACAATGATGTCACCACACCTGCGCTCCATCAAGATCTACAGGTAGGGTTGTCACCTTTTCTTCAACCAAAACCAGAGGAGAGACAACCAGGGGAGAGAGTGAGGAGAGACAGCCAGGAGAGAGAGTGAGGAGAGATAGCCAGGAGAGAGAGTGAGGAGAGACAGCCAGGAGAGAGAACTAGGAGAGACAGCCAGGAGAGAGAGTGAGGAGAGACAGCCAGGAGAGAGTGAGGAGAGACAGCCAAAGGAGGGAGTAAGGACAGCCAGGAGAAAGAGAGTAAGGAGAGACAGTCAGGGGAGAGAGAGGAGAGACAGTCAGGAGAGAGAGTGAGGACAGCTAGGAGAGAGAGGAGAGACAGGAGAGAGTGAGGAGAGACAGCCAGGAGAGAGAGAGTGAGGAAAGACAGTCAGGAGAGAGAGTGAGGAGAGACAGTCAGGGGAGAAAGTGAGGAGAGACAGCCAGGAGGATTAGTGAGGAGAGACAGCCAGGAAAGAGAG